AAAGGTACAGTTGTGCAAGTCATTACCAATGCTTTATCAGTATTTATTACTGAAATGCTTGACCAGGTGAAGTTTATAGTAAATTTGTTACGTTGAGCACCCTTTGCACCTGATGAGCACACTGGGTGGCATTTTATGGGTAAGGACAACATGCTCTGCCGCTGGAAAAGCCATAGTCTGTAGACCCTTGTTCTGTTAAGTTTTTGCTTGATTCCTTCCCCAAAGTAGCTCTGCTTGTGAAAGCCAGACTTGAAAATCTAGGAGTTACCTCCAGTTTTCTTTGGCCCAAATCCCCTATCCAAACAAAGTGCGTTTAAAGTAAGTTACTACGAGTCCTATAAAGTAACTCGCACTGAGGAAAGGACTGCACGCGAACCATGGAGGCGCACACGCCACCCCACAGGCACACGCGGAGATATTTCGGGTGTGGTTACAGACCACTGCAATAAAGCAAGTCACACCTTTTCTTTTTTGGTTTCCGAGTGCGTATAAAAGTTATGTTTATACTATATGTAGTCTATCAAGTGTGCATGTCTTAGAAAATACATACCTTAATTTAAAAATACTTTATTGCTAAAAAATGATAAAGATCATCTGAGCCTTCAGCAAATCATCTTTTTGCTGGTGGAGGGTCTTACCTTGCGTTGATGGCTGCTGGCTGATCTGGGTGGTGGTTGCTGAAAGTTGACTGTGGCAATTTCTTAAAATAAGACAGTAACGGAGTTTGCTGCTTCGATGGACTCTTCCTCTCATGAAAGGTCTCTGTAGCATGTGATGCTGTTCGATAGAATTTTGCCTACAGAACTTCTTTGAAAATTGGAGTCAATCCCCCCACACCCTGCTGCTGTTGTACAGCTACATTCGTGCGATATTTTAAATCCTTTGTTGTCACTTCAACACTGTTGACAGCATCTTCACCAGGAGCAGACTCCATCTGAAGAAACCGTCTTTGCTCATCCAAGAGAAGCCGCTCCTCATCCACGGAAGCTTTATCACGAGATCACGGCAACTCAGTCCCGTCTTCAGGCCCCTCTTCTAGTTCTAGGTCTCCTGCTGTTTCCACCACATCTGCAGTTGCTTCCTCACTGAAGTCTTGAACCACTCAGAGTCATCCCTGAGGGTTGGAATCAATTTCTTCCAAGCTCCTGTTAATGTGGATATTTTGACCTCTTCCCGTGAGTCACAAACGTTCTTACTGGCATCTGGAATGGTGAATCCTTTCCAGAAAGTTTTCGATATACTTTGCCCAGATCCATCAGAGGAGTCACTGTCTCTGGCAGCTGTAGTCTTCTGAGATGTATTTCTTTTTTTTTTTTTTTTTTGAGACATAGTCTCACTCTGTTCCCTAAGCTAGAGTGCCAATGGCGTCAGCCTAGCTCACAGCAACCCCCAACTCCTGGGCTCAAGCGATCCTCCTGCCTCAGCCTCCCAAGTAGCTGGGACTACAGGTGCACACCACCATGCCCGGCTAATTTTTGTATTTTTAGTAGAGATGGGGTCTCGCTCTTGCTCAGGCTGATCTTGAACCCCTGAGCTCAAGCAATTTTCCCGCCTCAGCCTCCCAGAAATTCCTAATGAAAAAGAATGTGAATGACACCCCCATATGGATGGCCCATGGTGAC